TGATTTCGTTTTGGTGTAATTTTCCCACTTACCTTCCTGTGAATATGCAGGATCCATGACCTGTAAAAGATGGAGGAAGAAAGTAAGAGAGATTGGATTCAAGGAGAAACCCGAACAGTCGATATCAGATCAAGTCATTCGAACGAGCATTACAAACAGTATAGGATAAAACTGCTAGATATTCGTGGAAGAATCGAAACCCGGCTAGTTGAGGATGGCAGGTGCGTGCACAAACACTGTGTATGATATATACAAGCAACCTAACATGAATACACGACCACGGGTTGTATATTATGTAACAGCTTGGAGAGGTTTCCACACCCTTATAAAAATGTTTTGTTCCCCTCTTCAACAGAATCTCACAATCCACCCCTCTCCGGGGCCAAGCGTCCTCGTTGGCACACTGCACGGTGTGTAGCTCTAATACCATTTGTACCAGCCCAAACCCACCGCTAGCAGGTGTTGTCCTCTTTGGACTTTCCCTTTTGGGCTTCCCTCAAGGATTTTAAAACACGTTTACTAGGGAGAGGTTTCCACACCCTTATAAAGAATGTTCTGTTCCCCTCTCCAACCGATGTGGGATCTCACAATCCACCCTCCTTCAGGGCCCAGCGTCCTCGCTGACACACCGCCTGGTGTCTGCCTCTGATACCATTTATAACAGCCCAAGTCCACCGCTAGTAGATATTGTCATCTTTGGGCTTTCCCTTTCAGGTTTCCCCTCAAGGTTTTTAAAACGTGTCTACTAGGAAGAGGTTTCAACACACTTATAAAGAATGTTTCGTTCCCCTCTCCAACCGATATGGGATCTCACAACATAACTCATGTTAGGACGTCCACCCAGATAAAGGACGTCCAACTAGTGCAAGGAGAAGTAAGGACTCTGACTAAACACCAAGTAATAACAAATAAATAACTAGGTCTAGTAAGTTCGTGCTCGTCAAGGAACCTGTCGTAAACATCTACTTACTAAATCGAAGGAACAAGGAGAAGAACGGTTAAAAGAACTTACTGGGATCGATCGTCGTAAGCATAGCGGTACCATCGAAGTCACACGTTCCACCAGCACTACGAGATTTCTGATAGTAATCATTATATGCATAAGAAGCATGGTTAGTAATGTTATTAGGGAGAAAGCATGGCCTCCCACGCTGAATAGCAGCACAGTTAGCCCCTCCTTGTCCACAAGCCCAATTCAGGCCATCTTCCAGCTTATCTTCATCCGCACCATCTTTAGCCACGCAATAAACTGCAGAAGAATTTCCTGTCGAACGACCCGAGATCAGACCCAAAGGATAAACAGCCGAACCATTGGGGAAAAGTATACCCCAATTCTTTTCCGAGATTGGACCGGGCCTCTTGTCTTCATTAAACAGCTCGTAAAGGTACGTGTTGATCGGTGTCGTTGGCTGACTAGGTGGCCCTGAATCGTTCGAAACTCTCCTGATCAGATTGCTAATGTAGGTGCCAGCATTTTGAATTGTAGCATCAGGTTCATTTGCTCCACCAAACCATGGCCAGCCCGTCTCAGTAACAACGATAGGAATCCCAGAGAATTTGAAAGTGTCGATCGAGTAGTACGTTGCATCAACCATAGCATCGAACATACTATTGTAATGGAAAAGAGTGTTCGGGTCAACAATCTGCTTAACTGCGGGAAGTGACCGGAAAAGTGCGTAATCTAACGGAAAAATTCCATTCTCAGTAGTGTATCCATAATAAGGATAGGCATTCAACATGTAGTAGGACTTCGTGTTCTTTAAAAACTGGAGGAGCTGAGAGATAGTCGAGTTCCACGAAGCGTTAAAGGTAGCAGTGGACGGGGGAAAAGGCCGGGGTATTAAGTCCATCGATTGGGGAGTGGAAACTTTGATCAGATCGTTTAGATTGGCAGCAACCAAGGCTTTATGTAGTGAATACATGGCTGGAACCAAGACTGGACCAACATGAGGAATTGCTGTAAGAACCTCACTGCCGACGGCAATGGCTGTAATATTCGTTCCCGGCAAGTAAGCGGCGACGTTTTTGTTAACCCAGGCTGCAGCAGCTGCTGGAGATTCACCAATCCTGAGAACTTCCTCATTCGTGACGCCAACGATTACTTCAATGCTACTGTTTGCTAGGGCCTTTAGCAGCTGGGAATCGGCATTATAGAGACGGAGATGAGTAATCCGATGGGTTTTAAGAATTGCAACGATACCTGAAGCTGATGGAAGATTCGAGACGTCGGTTCCGAGGTTAACCCCCACAAAGGCACCTATTGATGTCAAGAACACATCTCAGTAACAAATAGATAATTGAGATCATATTCCAAGCAACCTGAATTTAGAACAGGAACTACGAAAGGATGTTAAAGAACTATACCTAATGCATTGACACACATGCCAAATAGAAGCAAGATCACAGCTCCATGACACCTTTCGGGCATTTTCGAATCGACCAAGACTTCGACTTTTCAGCTTCCCGCTACTTACACTAAGTCGCAAGAACAAAACTCCCGAAACTCGATCGAGAAAGCACGAACAATCTGCAATCAAGTCATGTGAAATGTCAAGAGCTTGGGGGAAGAACAATTCCACACTCAAAACATTACAAAAGAAGTTGCTTCTGCAGATCCTCAGACATAAACATATAGACCAAACATTGACAAACACACACACACACACACTGTTCCTGAGCTAACAAATGAGATACTGTCTTTCAATCTTGTCTCTCAATCCTCGCCGCTCAAGCCCACTGGTAGTAGATATTGTCCGTTTTGGCTTGTTACGTATCACTATCAGTCTCACGCTTTTTAAAACGTGTATGCTAGGGAAAGGTTTCCACATCTTTAAAAATAATGCTTCGTTCCCCTCTCCAACCAATGTGGGATCTCACAATCCACCCCCCTTGGGAACAACGTTCTCACTGGCTCTTATACCATTTGTAACTGCCCAAACCCATCACTAGTAGATATGTCCGCTTTTACATGTTACGTATCGCCGTCAGCCTCAAGGTTTTTAAAACGCGTATGCTAGGGAGAGGTTTCCACACCCTTATAAGTAATGCTTCGTTCCCCTCTCCCACCAATGTGGGATCTCACAATCCACCCTCTTTGGGTGCCCAACGTCCTCGCTAGCACACCATCTACTGTCTACCTCTTATACCATATGTAACAGTCCAAGCCCACCACTAGTAAACATTATTTTCTTTGTCCCTTTACGGACCGCCGTCAGCCTCACGGTTTTTAAAACACGTCTGCTAGGGAGAGGTTTCCACACCCTTATAAGTAATGCTTCGTTCCCCTCCCCAACCAACATCGGATCTCACAGAAAGATCGGAGAATTTCAAACTAGTAGCTTAGCTTCCAAAGAACATCATAAACAGAAACCTCTCAATCATTCAACTTCTACAGACTAAGAACTACTGGAGAGCCAAAGTTCATAAATCTAGAACACAAAAACTCAGCCATAAACTACAAAACAACAAAGAACCCAGCTAAGAGAACTAAAAACAAGAAGCGGGCAAGTACCCAATCTGAAAGATCACTGCAATTCCAACAGATTTCAGTCAGCTTCAGAACAGAACCAAACCACTAAACGCACAAACAGAGATTCTCAGCAGCCCAGAACAGTGAAAAAGCTTCAGAAAATCAACAGTTTCAACTTAAAATCAGTCCGAAAACAACAAGAATCTTACCCCACCGTGTCCTAAACAGGGCTGATCTTGTGATATCGAAAAGAATATCGACTGAAGGTGTAAACACTGACAAGAAATGCGAAGAAAATGGCATACCAAACTTAAAAGCTTTATTGTATGCCTTTTTCTTTTCTCTTTTTGAGGAAGCAAAGGGGCATGGATTCTCGTGCAGAAGGGATCGTGATCGTCGCCGTTCATTTTGGTTTGATGGAGGGATTGGGGGTTTTTTTCTTTTCTTTCGTTTGGTTTGAACAGAAAAGAGGATAAAATTTGAGCTAGAGGAGAGTGGAGAATGGGTAAGTGGGGACTGGAAATTGTTCGTTTTTTGTTTAAATTTAACCCAAAAGTCGTTTGAGAAGATTCGATTTGGAAGAACAAAGTGATGGGTAGCCGCGTGAGGGATGAATGAGATGATTTTGCCGTTTAATACAAATTTGGGTATGTACAACACTTTTTTGTGGCATTTCACTTTTTTTTTTTTTTTTCAAATTTGGAATAATTTAAGCTATTTCTATCTTTAAAGTTTGAAACTTTTGTCAAATTAGTTAAAAAAAAAATAGTTTTAGAGGCGGAATTTGAAGAACTCAATTTGATGAGCAAATGAACAGTACTTTAACGAGGTGAATTACATGAGCGTACTTGACGAGTAAATAAATTGTAGGTTTTTATTAGCAATATTCAAACAAACCAAAGATAAAGAATAATTTGAATGAAGTTCGATTAGGAAATCTCCTCAGAATGTTCTTCTAATTTAATATATGTTTTTTTTTTTACTTAAAAAGATATTGACATAATCAATGTATAATTAACTCTGATTTTTTTTTTATACTAATAAATGTCCTGAAAATATTTTTAATAATAAATAAAATTAAATTAGTGACATAATAATTTGTGGGTTTTTATTTGAATTACAATAAGCTTCAAAATTCTAAGTGGATAAAATTAAAATTAAATTTTAAGGAGATTAATATGAGAAATAATTTTAAATGAAGTGGTCGCTTCAAAAAAAAAAAATTATTATTATTATTATTATTATTATATAATTATTTGAAAATTATAACGGCTCCCGAAGGAGGGCTAATCATGGAATCCAAGAAATATTCGTGGACGAGAAGGTGGACCCCACTTCACACTTGGTTGACGTGGCCAATTTAATTAGCTGGAAGCAATTATCTGTGAAAATTATTTATTTATTTATTTTATTATTATCTTTATTTTCATCTATGGAAAATATATAAATAGCATTAAAAAAATATTATCAGAATGAAAAATATTTTTAATAATTTTACTACGTTATTTATTATTTAAATAAGTCGATAATATGATGATAGAAAAGCTTGAAATATATTGTAATGCATCACCACAACAGGAAAGAAGAAAAAAAAAAAAAAAACTCAAAATCTTGATAACGCATAGATTCCTAAGAACAACGAACGAACGCTACCGAACAACAATATAAACGACGAAATGATGTCTATAGCGGAAACATCAAACTAAGCAATGGCAATAGTACATTGTAATTGTTCTCGACCAAGTTTCGAGTTGTTTTCCTGTTGACTTCGGCTCCAGCGAATGCTCAGGCTTCAGCCTCTCAATGGGCTTGGACTTCGACTTCTGCCCCGTGCTGGACTTGGACTTCGACTTCTCGAACCATCGAGTCGCGGAGATCGGGAGAATGACCTACCACGGCTCGGCTGTCGTGGGAAAGACCTCTCTCGACTATTCCGTCTGTCAGGTGGGGACGCCGATCTGCATTGACATATAGAAAAAATTGTGGCTCAAGCAGACTGAATAAAGAACTAGGACGTAACAAGCAATGTATTGAAAGAATACCTCGAGTAAGCCCTTGGTTTTGGTGGCGGGGATGCATTGTCATAACTGCGGGACCTAGACCTTGCATGGCGCGGAGCAGGTGAACGAGAATACCTTGCATGGCGTGGAGCTGGGGAACGAGAATATCGTGGCGAACGAGAAGACCGTGGAGGAGATCTTCTTCGATCATAAAATCGTCCACTGTTTATAGAACTGAAATATTAATTTTATTTAACAAATGCTATACTGAACTGTAAACAATTGATACAAGGCCAGCTTCATACCTTCCTCTCTCCCTCGTCCTCATATCAGATGGCTTCTTCCTGTTTTCCTCAGCATAGACCACAGTCAGCTCCCGACCGAGAAGAACACAGCCATCCATCTGATGCTTAGCATCTGCAGCATCAGCAGGATCTACATATTGAACGAAACCGAAGCCACGTGGTTCTCTGCAAAATTGTTGCACAAAAGAAGCAAAAAGGGGAAAGTTATAAAAGAAAAGTTAATGTAAAGCCACAGAATCAGGTCAGGAACTTGGCCTGCTAGAAACCTTCTCTAATAAAACTGTCCACCATATCCCTTGGAATATAAGCAAGCACTTGGCTGGCTGACCTTGCATGTGTCAGATTTAAGATGACTTGAAATTCTTCAAAGACTTGGGAACATCTTCTATGTACTCAAATCCAACTTCCTTCCAATCTTCACTACCATTAACATCATCTTCAATAGAACTCTAATTACTTGATGTCTTCTTCAAAACATTTTTCACTGTTAAATCTTCAAACGTTCAATAAACAGACCTAATATGTGATTTAAGGAAAAACAAAACAAAAAAGCAAAAGAACCAGAAAGAAATGCCTCTATCATCAGATGCACAATTTGAAAGATGAAACACAATAGATACTAAAAACGTTTCTCAAGGATTGTGCTAAAACCATTTTGTTCGAAAGCAAGGAAATCATTGAAAACATGTTCTCTCCGATACCACAAAATATATTATATCACAGAGACTAAAAACGTTGTATAAAATTTACAGAATTACTTAAAAACCATATGCACAAAGTTTAATTGTATTTTTTTCTAATTGAAAAAATTAACACTTCCCAAGAATCTGCAAATCCTACCATACAGCTCAGATATGCTCACCCAGTATGATAATCCTTTGGTAGGTATATGTCCTTAATGGCACCAAACTGTCCAAATGGTCTACGAAGATCCTCAGGTCTGTGTCAAAAAATAAATTTTAATAAGCGGTACACCAGGTTATATCATATTTTTACTATAGATTGCTTTTTAAGCAACATCTTGAATATATTTGATCAGCAAGCAAGAAAGAATAGCAGTATGCAGTACATGTGTTTTAAGAAAACAATATGCAGTTAAAAAAATTGGAACCAGAGCACGAATGGTGCTATATCAATCTATTACTAATTTCAAACTACACAGAGTTCTACAAAGCACTTGCAATTCCGAACAAGACCCTGCAAGAATGCAACCAAATTAAATTCTTATATTCAGACACGAAAGACTCATCTCATTTCATGGATGCAGGTCAAAACTGAATCACGGATGCACCGCAAGGGAGAAGAAAAATGAAAGAAGATCAAATGAATTACTATAACTTGGCTTCTGTCTAAGGAAAAAAAAGGCTACCTAATGTGGTGGAATACATACTATGTATTAGGGTGGAACAATGTTTTTAAAGTGCGAGGCACGCTTGGCTGCAACGACTTTATACAAAAATCAAACAGAATCATGAACATAATTTCATTTAAAAAAACTTTTACAAATATGGGAGCATTTGCACGAGATTATTGAAAGATATAACAATAGCTTTCCAAAGGAGGGCATAAAACGACGGGAAAAACAAGTCAATTAACCCACGGCACAACACGGCAAGCCTTATTGAGGGGTGAGTGCCTTGCCGCAAGTGAAGGGATCGGCCTTAAGACACTTCGTAGGCAACAAATAAATAGAAGGCTCCTATAAGACAATGAAAGGAACTATAAAGAGTTATTTGGTCCATTTCATTTTGTTTCTTTCATAGCTGTTGGAATAAGAGATTTCATGATTATTGTAGAATTCTAATACTTTGAGAGAGAGAGTGTGTTTTATAAGGGTGTGGAAACCTCTCCCGGACGCGTTTTAAAAACCTTGAGGTATGCCCGAAAGGGAAAACTCAAAGAGGACAATATATGCTAGCAGTGGGCTTGGGCGGTTACAGAAACAGATAGAACTTTTCAACTTCCTTAAACTATGTGATGTCTTATTCCCATTCCCCTATCTAAGCTCCTTTCTAGCACAAAGATCTGACCACTATCAATTCAAAACAAAATAAAATAAAGCGACCCCCTTTCTCCTAGAGAAGGAAAATTGGTCGAAAAACCATTTGGGGCAATAAGAAACATAAGCATAACTACATAACATACTCATCCAGAACAAACCTGCAGTCACGGCGAAGATTACGAACTAGAAGGCTAGTGGGGAGGTCTCTTCCACGTCCCCCATAGCGCCCTCTAGGGCTAGGGCTCCGACCCCTTCTTCCATAACCCCTTGGCGGTGATGGAGTATAACTCCTACCCCTCATTTGCACAGCAACCAATGACAGAGACCCGCAGTCTAAGAATCTCGCTACAGCTGTGAAAGTGAACAAGATTGAACCACTCAAAACTATTTTAACATGTAATTACAAATTCTTAAGGCAACTGAATTGATCCAAAACTGTTTCCTTGTACAGAAATCGAGAACAGTAAGCAACCTACTCAGCTACCACATAACAAGAAACTCTAACTTGATAAACCTCACATGGCATATGAAATTACAGGTCAAAAATTGTGAAAATTACCTCAAAATAGCGAAGCGGGAATAGATCTATACAACGTAACTATAGAAATATGCTGGCCGAGATTTGAAAGTGCTGCGTGAATGTACGAACGCTTGGAAGACAGAGAGACCTTGAAGATACAGTGAATCGGCGGCAGAGAGAGATAGAGAGAAGAAATTAGGGTCCGAAGATGAAATTGAAATCTTCGATCGAGAAACAGACGACGGTGCTTCAGATTTGGAAGTTTAGGGCATCAGATTTCCACTGTAGATGAACAACACAACGACGTCGTTTAAGTGAGAAAAGTTTTATTTTCAAAAAGATAAAATAAATAATACCCTAATATTTTAAAAAATTACATAATACCCTTCCTTTTTCCGACTCGTGTTTATTGAACCAGGATCAAGTTATTCCAATAATACCCCTAACCCGATCCAACTCAATCTTTATACAGTCTTACTCTTATGGTGTTCGATAAATACATAAAAACATAAATGTACAATAAAACGTGACTATTTTCAGGTCTAAGTTTGCTAATCGAATACTCGAAGTTGTTATCGTTCAATCATTTCACGAGGATAGTTTCAGGGTTAATTGATTATATACCCAATAAGTTACTGTTTATACCAACAATTTTTAATTTTCGGCTCATGTTTTGCATATAAGTGAAAATAAAACAAAGTAATGCGACCATGTTGTAGGGGAATGCCGGGGCTATCGGGTGCCGAATTTAGATTTTAAATCCTAGGCATGGGTCGTTACAGTAGTAAACTCTTCACCCCCAATATATGACGATGATATATATATATATATATATATTTTAATAAAACAGAGTTGAGTTGACTTTGGAACATTTGGAAGGGAGTTAGACATGTTTAATTCTCTTTAAGCACGTAATTTTAATACTAAAACATTAAAAAATTTGGTATATTAATGATAATATATCAATTACACAAATTTAAAAAACGAATAATCAATTTTTTTTTTAATCATATTTATTATTATTATTATTTTTATTGCACGACAGGATAAGGACATGAACCTAGCATCTGATTTCGTTCTCTACCGTCGCATAAATTTCTATTTATTTTTCGTGGCGTGAGTTTTCTACAATAATTTTTTCTATATATTAAAAAAAAAAATTAAAATTTTAATGAATAATTAAAAAAAAAAAAACTAAAACATTTTAATAAATTCAATAATATTTCATAAAAAATAATATAATATAATATTTAATAAATATAAAGGAAAAATCTAAAATATGGTAAATTTAAATTACAATAGAATTATGTATTTTTTAAATTAAAAAAAAATCCTTTTGATTTTTAATTGCTTTATATTTATTTCTAGAAAATTCGTTAACGGTCACCCCATAAAATATTTTGAGCTTATCACGAACCAATCATAAACGAATCCTACAAGTTTTGTCCTTTTTATTTATTTATTTATAATTAAAAAAAACAATGGATCTTTATCTATATATTTAATTTTTAAAATTTAAAAATATTAATCCTTTTAATTTATTTATTTTTAATTAAAAAAATCATGCATCTTTATCCCATTTATATATATTTAATTTGAAAATTTAAAAAATTAATAAATAAATAAATAAACAATATAAAAAACAAGAGTATAATTTGACCGTCCAATTAAAAATTAGAGGATTGAGTTGTGAACTCTATTCAAATTATTTCGAACATTTAAAAGATATTTTAACAAAAAAAATAAAAATAAAGAATCGAATTTATTTTGCATAATTAAAAAATATTGTATTTTGCATAATTTAAATTAAAATGTTTATTCCAAAATTGTTGGCGCTAAAAAAAATTGATTATATATATATATATATATATTTTTTTTTTTTTTTTTTTTTTTTTTTTTTTTTTTTTTTTTTTTTTTTTT